TGTCCTGCCAAAGCTAGATGGAGGGAGTCTGAGGCACTGATATGTTTATGTTTTGCCTTTCCACAGAACATTTCCATACAAATTAGCTTATCGACCATTCAGTCCAAACAAGTGGACTAATTTGAGTGCAGAACAGGAACTTCTTTGACAAAATGCCCGTATCTCCTTGGGATTCTTGTATGCACCCAAAGTTGTGTTTCTGGGTTGTTCTGGGAAGATAAAAATGTACAGGTTCAGCCTCAGGTTAATTCTCAGACTAACACTGTGGGTAAATTTGTTTCACTGAATAAGCTACAAAGAAAAGGAATTCAGTAAGGAGAATAACTAGAAATATTAGATAAGAACATGACTTTAAATCTTGACATGACAATAGACTATGCAGAACAACATGAAGAGGAAGAAGAAATGACCTTGATTGTTTGGACATACTGAGTTAGAGAATGGGGAAAAGAGAAGAAAAAGAACCCCCACAAATACTATTTTCATTTCTTAAAATGGACATATTTATTTGTTAAGATAATTAAATAAAAATTATAAATAATAGTTACCTTTGAAAAATTCCATCAAAATTAAACAAAACAATTAGCCTGTTCCTCCTGGTTATGCTCATTAAGACTGCAGCTATGAAAAAAGGCATGGTCTACTATAAAATTGAGATTTGTTTCTGTCCACTTGCACAAATATTATAAATAAAAGTTTCCTTATAAAAATCACATGAGATGCTTGTGGCATATTTTGTAAAATGTGACTAGAAAAAATGAGATACTGTTAATAAATAATACATTCGTTTAACAAAGCAATTTTTGCTATTGAGACACATCTAGACATTTTGGGGTACAGTCACTATGAAATCACCTGAAAGAGAGACATTCTTCAACAGAGCACTGCACAGTACTTGAAAATGAACAAATTGTACTGACATAATAGAAAATACATTATTGCCAGGCAAAGAAATATAAACCCTTAGTCCTTGTAACAGTGTCAGCCAACAGCAAACATTTGCTACATTGGAGAGAATTAGATCAAAGCCCTAATCACAAGACTCTAAACAACAACATGCGTTGTGATGTTTAACACACTCCATACAAGTACCTTTGCCCCTGAGTGTGCCAAAAATGTTGGTGATTCAAGGAGATGTTTACCCAAGTGCTCATATCATTTTGACACAACATCCAGCCTGTAAAGCTTACATACATCATAAATGATACAATAAATATTACATGCCAGTCACTGGAGATAAAACAAATCCATGGAATTATGCAACCTCAGAGGCATAATGGTTTGCCATCTCAAGACACTGAACTACCACATTACCATCACATTTTTCAATAAACTGTGCAAGATAAGGAATGCAAATCAAAGTTCTAGACTTACACAAGGGCAAAATTCACCAGCTAACACTGACATCCCACATCACATCGCTCCTTTGGAAATATGGTGAGAGAGAACAAAAATGGCCTAGTCCATAGAGACAGGAGACACCTTGCACCTGTCCTGCGTGGGCTACTGTATACCAGCATTACTATAAACCACAGACTGATCCCAAATCAGCTTGTTTTCACCAAACACTGAACTCCTTCCAAACATGTTTGTGGTATGGTATGTTTCACCACTGCTTCAAGCATCGCTTGCTTGAGCACTCCAGCAGGTGGAATGCTCATCACCAGCCTTGCAGATAGAGTCAGCTACAAAGCAGGAGGTCTGAGATGTGCAGATGGTATGACAGGGAAGGTAAGAGCAGGGATCTTGCAGGAACAGGTGGAGGCAAGCAGAAGCCAATTGTGATCCTTCAAGCAATGCCTCCTGGGCTGTTTGCCTTCAAAACACCAGGGATTTGATATAACCCAGGTGATGAGCCAGCTGTGGGTTCCCAGGGAACCCTGTGACTGGGCAGGTATTTTAGAATCACTGTAACTCAGGGATAAAAGAACAAATGTCAGTCCCTCCTGAAATCACAGACTTCTCATTAATACCTCAGTCAGGTAAAACCAAAATTAATAATGTTGAAAAACTTTTGCCTGGCCCATTTCTGTTCCAATCAAAACTCCTTTCTCAAGTTGTGTGCATGTCTGTGCCTACAAGAAACAGAACTCATGGCATTTTAGCTTGCACTTCATCTTCCAGCCATATAGAAACAACAAACCATACCAAACTAGTCATTTATTTCCTGGCACAGGAACAGACTATTGAATTCCATGGGCAGGAAACACATGGTATGGCATCATCAGTGAGCCCAACTGACCTCCCAGCGAGTGCAGCCCCATGAGCCCACATCTGGGAAGAAGTCTGATCTGCTGGAAATTCAAATAGGTCTTCCCTTACAATGCTGGAAGGAAGCATATTTAACTTTAGTAAGACAGCAATTTGTTTATTATCATCCTAACAAAGACAGCAGTTTATTTATTACCATCCTAACAGTAAAGCTTACCAGAATCTGAGTCTGGTTGTAAAAAGGGCGATAGACAAAAGAGGATGTGGTTCACTGCAAAAACTGCTTTCCATTTCGCTTCTTTTTTTCAGTATTTTTACACTACAGAGCTCATACTAATAATCCACCTTATGGACATGACATTCAAATAAAACCACATGCAGTCTTTTACATTCATCATCATCCACATGCTACATTTCACAGTTCATTATCAAAGCAATGTACCACTCTATAAAAATATCACAGTGAGGCACCTTTAATTTCCTTCATATCTTTGTTTGTTTGCTTTTCTTTCAAACTTTCAGAAACAGCCAGATGGAACCAGCACTGAAACAAGTTAAAGCAAGGTGTGTGGTATGTGGAAGAAACAGAAAGGTTTAGAGGTCCTTAGAGGACTTCCACCATGAAGGCGGGATTGCTGCGTCACCTTGAACTGCCAGAATTGGAGAAGATGACAATGACTCTACAAGATTTATCTTAGATACTTAACTTAGCTTAAATATATCTTTTTTTAAAAACAAATCTAGGTTTCTAAATAAAAATAGGAGATATTTCTATCCTGTGCTCGAGGTGAAAAATCCAAATTTACAGCAAACTGCACATTCAAACTTCTTGCTCTTGACCTGTAAATGGCTAAAGCATGACATGAAAATGCTTTGTACTGTCTTCCCTTCCACAACACCAGAGAGATTTATTTGATCACTACAGCTGTTGCACTTGAACTTTCTTCTGCTTTCAAGAGGGCCCAGACGCTGGCTGATTCATCCCTCAACAGATGTCTCAGCTCCAATGTGGTGCTGAGAGGCTGCAGTGTGGAGTTACCCAGCCAAGGGGAGCTGCCAGTACCCAGCTCTGGTGATGAACTGCTCAAGATGTGAAAAGGCAGAGCAGGGGATGACATAATCATGCTCCATGAGTTTCCAGCTGGAAGAAGACTACTCAGATTCAAAACTATCCTTCCCATCAGGGCCAGCCAGGCTGGCTGTGTTGGAGTAACTGGGTGCCCTGTGCCACGTCTCGGGCAGGGAGCATGCAGCAGCAAGCAGATGGCAGCGGCTCCTGATCAGCCCCCACCAAGTGAGGGCTGGGACCACGCTGTGTATTTCATCCTGGGGCTCATATTGCCTTCCGCTGCCCTGTTGACTCCCCTCTTCCCCGGGGGACTGTGAGCACCCAGAAATCCCAGTACGACCCCAGACCTGTGTGCCAGCCTGGCCCCACTGCTCAGCACAATGAGCAGCCCCGGCAGCACCCCTGAGCATCACCCAAAGCCCCAAGAGGTTCAGGAGCCAGGAGCTGCCCTCTGCCCTCAGCGCAGGTATTCAGCACAAACAAGACAAACCTAGTCAGTGTTTTTTAATGCCTTGCTTTCTCACCCAAACATTTCTTCCTCAAGACGAGGATAAAACCCCCTTCATTTAAAATGCATACTGGTAAACTCTCCAGTGGAACAGAAACATTAGTAAGTGCAACTCCTGTACATTACACAGAATTTAGGTATTGGATGAGAATCTGAGAGATATTCACTGAGATGCAAACAAAAGAAAAAATGAAAAATAATAAGGTCAATGGAAAGAATACATGTACCAAAACCAAGAGGACAACTAGAGGGATACTGATTGGAGTTGTTGGTATCCCTGTCTTAGCTTGTAACTTTCATGTTTTCAAAACGAAAACAAAAGTTTTTTATTACCACAGTAGTTACAGGCCATTATTAAGAAGGTTTACTAAAGACTCCTTGTTTTTCACTGAGGTCAAAAGCAATTTTGGAAATGAATGTCTATGTTATTGTGCCTGATTGACTGTGAGTGCACTAAGGTATTGCAAAGATTCAAGATTTGACTGTGTGGAATTTAGGCTAAAGCCCAGACACTTACAGCCAGACTGGGTTTTATGAAAACCAGAAGAATTTTCAGTTCTCAAAGACTTTTGATGGTTAAAAAGAAGATAATTTGACTAGATTTAATCGCTGATCATCATAATAGTGTTATGAAAACAAGATACTGTGCACAACATAGGAAAAAAGTGTAAGACCAACGATTTAAGGCAACTAGCATCTGAGTCTAGAATTGAGCCTTAGATATAAATTGTCATTAAAAAAAAAAAAAAAAAGATGCAAAAGCTATCAGAAAAGAAAAATTTCAGTTGAATAGCAGGGGAAAAAAATCATATCAGAAAAGAAAAATTTCAGTTGAATAGCAGTCTAACAAAATTATTTGACAATGAATAGAAACATTAGCAGGCATCAGATCCATCATGGACAACAAATTACTTGAGGATATCTAATTCCCAGATATAGTCAGTCAATGATGAGGTTTCACACTGTAGAAAAAAAACTCTTTTCACTTTCACTTGGCTCATACAATATACTTGACGGGAAGAGCAGCACATGGATCACTTCTATGCAACTTGCTGAAACAAGGACATGATTTAGATCATTATTTGATTTCAGACTCTGACACCTTAGCACAGCAGATGTTTGCCTTACAAAAGCAACCAACAAATAGCATAAGCTACTCATGATCTACACTTGAAGAAAAAATCGGTACCTTACAGAATAGGAATCTTTAACATTCAGAGGATGAACTCCCTCAAATTTGAGAATGGACAGCTGGTTAAAATCAAGACAATTCTATTGATTTGACAGGAGTCAAAACAGTAAAAGAGAGCAGAGAATTTGGCTTATAAACTGAAGGGCAGGGCAGAGAGAAGAAAACCTTCTTTTCTCATTAAATGTATGGCTTTTCACTTTCCTATAATGTCTAAGTTATCTGAAGGTAACATCCTTATTGTACCTATTAACAATGAGGGTAGATTTTAACACAGAAGCACAAATTCAGTCAGATATTAAGGTTTATCTGTTTGCTTGTTTTCACTGTTCAAAACAGATAAAACTTTATATTTCACAAAATTCCTGTTTTTTTCACTTTGCTTCCCAAGTATGAGTTAACTAACTTTCAAAACATCTAAGCTAAACATAACCTCCATTCACCTAACAGAAATCACTGCAGCAAGAAAGATTTCAAACATTCTGGGGTAACCGATATCAGAAATAATAAAGCCTTAATTTTAATTATGAGTTAAATAGTAATTAGTACTAGGAAGACATGAAATATGGCATACAAGCTTGCCTGCAGTTTGTATTAATAAACCTGAAGTGGATTATGTCTCTCTGTTACAGTTTTAGGTTTAGAACCCAGAGGAAAGTTCACTGTAGTGCAGAGATTTTCATTAACTTGTGAACGCAGCAGGTTTCACACCAGTACAACAAGAACTGAGGGACAGAGAAGCGAAGAATGAAGACCAAACATCTGTTAATAACTTTAGATCCCAATTCAGCCAAGCATTTAAATAACATGCTTGCATTCCTTTATCTTTACAAGACTGTATCATCTTGTGTATTTATCTACTTTCTGATCTTTGTCTAGTTCTTTAGACACCAAGAATAAATGGCAGCACATAAACAGTAACAGACTTCATAAGATCTGAACCTCTGTCCTGAGATTGTTCTTCTTCCTTTTTTGACTACATGGGGAGACTAACATTTAATTTTTTATCTAAGGACACCAAACAGAGTAGTCTAAAATTGAAAGCTTTGCAGAAGTACAGACTTGAATACAAAGCTAGAAGTGCAGAATAACTTGAAAACCAGGGGAAGCACTCACATATGTCTAACAGAGTCTGTTCAGTTATGAGTGTATTTTAGGAGGAAAAAAAAAAAAAAAAGGCATCTTTTTTACATATAAAATTTCATCTTTCTTTTTCCACTAAATGGTTTTAAAGTAACTCTTCAAGATACTAATCAGTGCTTGAGCTATAAACTTCAGGCAATCAGCTATTTTGTTTATATTTATATAATTTTGTGCCTATGTATTATTTAGGTAGTCTACAGAGACCTCTAAAAAGGGTAAATAAGAGTTCTGATCAACACTTCATTCCATTTTCAATGCAAGGTGAAGAGCAGTAACAAAAGAAAAATCTACTGTTTCTGCCTGTGCATGGAACAATTCTTGGAAATGCTTATGGGATGGGAGTTTCAAGAGCACTGAATGCTGACCTAATCCAATATTGGCTCAATGGGGATTTCATTATTGATATAAATAAAACCAGTGTGTTTTCCAAGTCCTTGCCTTATGCAGCATCAGCCATTCACCTTCCAGTGACATCATCATATATTCAAGTCTCATACTCAGATATGGATACTGGATATGAAAAGGTCTCTTTTCTAACAGGCCAAACCATGCAGCGTGACCAAATGACACACTAAAGGACGTATTTCCAGTCATTTCAATGCTCATTTCATTTTTCAGTACATTCAAAGTCCAGTCTTTTAAAATTATTCAACGTATGATCTTCAGGATCAAAGACCATGCTTGAAGAGCCCTTGCAGAACCAAGAAACACCACTAAGCATATGGGAGACATCAAACAGGCAGAGGTGAGGCTAAAGTACCCTTTTTTATTATTGTCTGTGCAGCACCCCGTGTATCATCTGCTGAAACTCTACAGCTCAAGAGGTAGCAATCAACTCATGTTTGCAGGAGCCCTGCCAGACTACTCCAAAACAGAGGAAAGTTCCTCTGTTCACTCCTGAAAACCAGACATCTGTCAGTTTTGCTCCATATACTAAAAGCTATGGATATCTGAAAAGAAAATGTGTTCTTGAAAAAATAAGTGTTTATTTTCAGCACATGTAGGGATTAGAAAAAAAGTGTTCAAGCATTTTCTACAAAAATTAATACATGCAGAGAAAAAAAAGAAGTTGTGATTACAGCACTCTCACAGCACACCAAGATCCTGGTTGAAGACATCTGAGCAGGGACTCAAATCTGGGTCTCAGTGCTCCAGATTATACTGTTCTAATCAAAATCTCTTTTCCTCTCTGCATCTATTTTCAGTGAAAATATTTCCTTTACTACCAAGTTAATCACTGTAACAAAGCTGCTCACAGAATATGTAGATTCTCTAGTTTCCCAGTAAGAATTTAGCTTAAAATATATTATGCATCTGTAATCGCTCCCTTCCAATAAACGGAAAATGATGCAACTCATCTTTACTATGGGCCCCATCTGAGCAAAACAATTAATTGAATATGCAATTAGAAATCAACAGGAACTACTGAAAAGGCACTTCAGTGTTTTATTGAACACCAGTTTATTCATAAACTCAGAGAACAATTACTTGTGGTCTTGCCTTCTTATACTCACTTTGGATTCACTCAGAATAGTTAAATCTAGTCTAAAAGAAAAAAAGGGTTTAACTCGGAAGGTGAAGACACCAAGTAAGACAGCAAATTCCAGGTGGTCTGAGTGCTAAAGGTTCACTTGCCTTAGAGAGACCCAAGCAGGATAAATATTCAGCTCAACAGAAAGCTGACCAACTCAATAGCAACAAGGAGTACATGTAGATTATTTTAAGATGCAGAGTTAATAGGCCCTTCTGAGACTTGCCAGGGATCAAAAGTGTTTCAGAGGAAGAAGCAGCCTGGTCTCCAAAGGGATGAGCTGCCATAATTTCCACTAAGCCCAGCACTTCTGACTGTGAAGTAGGGGAGGTCTAACCTTGCCACAGGTAATTATCTAGGACCTGGTCTCTAACAGCACTTGCTGAATTGTACCCATGGCAGATCTGAACGGAGCCACTCCGGTGAATGCCAAGTCCCAGCAGCAGTCAACAGCCTTACCCTTATATGCTACTGCTCTGAATGTACCTGCTGCCCTGAATGTACCCCACTGCCTTCACATGGTTGAGGACTACTTGCTGTCCCTAAGTGCAAGCGGCATGTCAGGGTTGGCTGAACTCCACACACAGCTGAACTGCTCGAACTGGGCCAGCATCATCCACATGGACTACTGGGAGTGGGTCACTGCTGCACCCCCTGCTCCATGCAGTGCCTGAGCACTGGTTAGGGCAGCACTGGTGGGTGCCTGACAAAGCCACAGCAGTACGCTCACAAGCAAACTATACAGAACTAGGGAAAACACTTAAGGCTGTGCTCTGCCCTGCACAGCTTAGCCCTGCAGACAAAGCTAGGGTGTTTTCAAAGTCCTGCAGAGACCTCTGAATGCAGCCCGTGTTCAGATAAAGCATGAATCACCAACTGGAGGTGCCTGTCTCTCCTGACTGTAGAGAGAACCTACGCAACCATTTTCAATTAACAACTTCTTTTTTTTTTTTACAGCTGGAAAAACAGAGTGAGATTAATTTTTAAGTATATGCATTAAGCTGAAGAGGCTGAATACACTAGGGCTTAGCCTATTGTAATAAAAACTGAAGAAAATGAATAATCAGGGAGGAAAAACTAGCTGTTTAAGTTCTCATTGCTGTCAAAGAAATACCAGCTAAGGAGAATAGGTTAAGCCTTCTGTTGGGTATTTGTGTTACACTTAAGAAAATGAGTTTGCTAACATTGAGCAAAAAGGACAGTAAATCTTTTAATTGTTCTGTTCAAAAACTACCAAAGCCTCAAACATCTGATAGATTCCAAGTGACAAAATCCTGGAATTCAAGGAAAGAGAAGCAATTTTACAACAATTGCTTTGTAAAACACAGCCTTCTTCCATCTTTTTTCCATTCTCCAATGATGAAACTATCAACACCTAACTGAAGTCGTATTTTCAATTTGGAACCTACTCTTGTTTGATTTATCAACATTTCAGAAGAAATGGTTCAAAATGACAATGTATATTAACTACCTTATGTTTGACTTTTAAAATCTCACTTTAACCCCAAGGAGGATGGTCATCAGGAAGGATAGAGCAGAAATGTTCTTTAGGATGACTTCTTGGGGCACAAATACAAGTCCAGATCATCCCAGAGGAAGATGATGACATGACATTAGGAGCAGGTCCCATTAGGGAGGACACAGCACACCAGGACAGCCCCATCCCCCAAACAGCCATGGAACCAGAAACAGGCATTTCTGGACAAGATCTGATGAATTTTGCTTACTAGGAAGTATCAAATAACAGAAATCTCACCATATAATTTTATGAAGGAGATGATGACTCAGGATAATAGCTGGTTAGTCCATTTCATATTTGTGTTTTGAGAGGCCTGGCAGGAGAGAAGGGAAAGACAGGTTTTTCATCATCAATCTTTGTAACATTGTATTTCCCTTTCTGTTTAGTTTCCCCTCCTCTTTGCTGCCATCCTGCAGAAAACCATTGGTAGGTCATAGGCAGTCCATTTTTCACAGACATTACCAGACAAAATGTCCTACAGTTGCTTAGAACTGTGGATTTTTATCAAGAATTGCTACACTCTCATTTGTTATACCACTGATTTGATCTTCTTTTTTTCCAGCATCATTCAACTCTTCAAGAACTGCCTGACCTTCAAATAACCTGGACTTCTTCCAAAACTCCAGTGAGCTGAAGAAAAGAACCAAAACAGGCAGCAAATGGTGAGACAGCAATCACCTCCTTCACCATCCTCACTTCTAGACCAAAAGTTTCCTCATTCATGTTCTCCTTATTAATTACAGACAAGGGTGAGCCACTTATTAAACCAGTTTCCATGAAGATGTTTAGAGGAAGGGGTTTCTACATAACTACCACAGTTCAGACATTGTTTTAAAAAGCAGATCCTTCGCTTAGTTTCAGCTCCCACAGAGGTACAAACTCAGCAGGGTATGTTATGACACCATTTTGATGAAGCTAACAAAAAGGTGAAAGTAGTCAAGTTAACAAAATGGCCAATATTTCTACATTCTACAACAGCTAAGCTGTAACAGAGGCTTGGACCTTTGACTTTATGTGGTTCACCCCAAACTTGGTTTCTTCATTTCAACAACAATATAAAAATACAATATTCACAAATAAGACTCCTTAGTATTATAGCAAGGTCTGTGCCAAAATTATATGTTTTTATTCTCATGAGCACACCCCCCCCTTCTCTATGATTTTAGTTTGCTGGCTTCTGTTTTGCTTGTTTGTTTTAGAAGGAGCTCCAAGGGCTCATAATCAACAGTAAGAAGTTTTTGAGGAAGTTCAAACATCAGTCTTGATTTACTCAGAAAGAATATACACCCCCAAAAGATGACATCTAGGATGACTTCAGTCCATACACAGCTCCTGAAAAGGAATTTAATTTATTCTACTTATAAATGTGGGGCAATGCTTCCAATACAGAGCAATGATTCCAGCACTTATGTACCTTGTCACCTCTACGATAAAATTAATAACTAGGACCATTAACAAATAATTTGGCCAGTCTGAACTCCTTTTTATTGAAGATGAATTGCAGTAGCTTTCAACCTGGCAAAGACTTAAGCAGCTTTAGTTATCAGAGAAATTCAGGGACTGACAGTGGAGACAGAGAATCTAGAGTAGGGAATTTCACCAACAAAATAGATGTTAAGATTTCAGTTCACTTCAAGGAAAATATAGCAACACAAGCAATGAGATTTGATTAAGGGTATTGCCATTAATGGACATCAATCAATCAATAGGTAAATGCTTCATGGATATAATCACTCAGACTAAAGTTTGCCTTGACTGTGAGATACTGATTTCTCACGATTAACACTTAGTACAGTTAGCCTCCTGGATTCACTTGTGCCTATCTTTAAGTATGGTCCTATCCCATGGTGTGACATCCCTCCTGAAGAACAATACAACTTCAGTCTCTTGCAGGCAATGCTATATTTCACATCAATGATCCTATACATGGACCCCGTCCACTCCTAGATTTAGACAAGGCAAGCTTCATGCTGAGCAGCAGCAGGGACAGAATATATCCACCCCAACATTTCTGCCAGGCAGTTGCCACTCTCATGTTCCCAGCTGCTTTACTTTTTTTTTTTTTTAATGACTGCTCTTGCCACAAAACAGTTGCAGTACTCTCCTGTATCCCTTTTCACTAGCTGGGCAAAAGGCTGATCGCTGGCCAGTGTTTGCATGGAGTGACAAGTCAACCAGCTAAAACAAATTTTGCTCTCTCAAAAGGGCCATTTATTTTCATTTCTCTTCTTTCTTCAACTGTCAGTTGCCCAGAAGTTATAGAAAATTATTTATCCTTGAAGCCTTTACTTCCCCATTAAATGTGGTTGTTTTTGTAAGATGCAGTTATATTCACTACACATAAACATGAACAGAGACAGAAACATCAGCTTCTCCAACATCAGTCATACATCACATGCAGCCTGGGTCCCTCTTACCCCCATAATTTTTTGGAAGCTATCTACCTGAAAACACCAGGACTGCAGACATCAGAAGGGACTCACAAAGAACACAGGCTACAGGTTCTATCTGCCTTGGTCTTACAGAGGTGGGGAATACAACATCTCCAGATACCCAGGGCACCAGTTGAATATAAACAAGCCAGACATTATGAAACAATGCACAGAGTTTTCCTTCAAAAACACATGTTTTTCTCTTGTTCTTCTAATCTGCTTATTTTCCCAAGACATGGAAAAAGGATTACCAAAGGGCTGGACAGCCATCAGCAAGGTTCAGAACTAAATTCCCAAGTATTGGTAAAATACAAACAAATGACCAGCAAAGAGGCAGTTCCTCATACTCTCCTTATTCCCTCCTCCCCCCCAAGGAAATGCTTGGCATCCTGCTGAAGTGCCATTTTTGCACACCATATTTTGACTGTTGTTCTCATAGATAATATATTTAAAGCACTAAAAAGTGCAAAACTTGATGCGTACAATACAGGCCCCTCCAAGAAAGGCGGCTCTGTAAAACTCTCCCATAACAAGCACTAAAGAAAATATTTTACTTTCAAACCCTTCCTTACTGAGTACCCACATCACAGATTAAATAAACATAATGAAAGGGAATGAATTATCAAGTGATGTTTCATTAGTGTGTTGACTGTGCTTTTAACAAAGATATGGACAAAGTGGGTTATAGAAGCACATTTGGATTTTATCAGAACAGTCTCTAGAATGCTATTTAATCCAAATCTCCACATTACAGTTTAGCCCTGCCCTGTAATCCTATGGAACAGTACCCACTTTATGCTTGGAATATCCATATTTAGAAAGAAGATTTTATTATGAAACATAGGTTTAAAAATAAAAACATGATTTTTTTTCCCTCTGTCCCACATAGATAGTCGAATCATTCATATTTAAAGAAGAGCCATGGAATTTGTCCTTTTTTTCTTTTTTAAATTGTATCTATATAACTTGCAGCTGGTAGTCTGCAAAGAGAGATGTCTAACATGTGACAGGATACATCCCCCAGAATACTAGTACTTTGGAGCTATAACAGGTAGCACAGGAAATTGTTATGAAAACTTAATGACAGTATTGTTGTTTCAACACTTTGACTAGAATTTCAGCTACTAATGATGGAAGGATAAGAAAGAGAACCCTGATCTGCATTTTTAAAATTAATGGTGATAACATCTTGCACCTAAAATTGCACCATGGACTGAGCTGGTATTCTCTTCTTGTCATACAGTGCTAAACCAAAGCAAACAGATTTCTCATTTACAGAACCATCTGCTGCACAAGTAATAACCCAAAATAAAACAGTCCTTCAGGCGCTGCGCTGGCCAGAGCAGCACACTTGCGATGTGCACACGGACATCATTCACCCGCTGCGAGGAGAGAGGCTGCCTTACATAATGGCCTGCCGTTTTCTTTTTTTCTTTCTGTCTATGCAGCTTTTCAGTGCTCCCAAAGGCTGTTTTATTTTTCAGACTATCTTTAACCAGAGACAAGTACAAATCTTTAAGGCTAACGTTACAATCCAAGCAGAAAAGCTAGTCACACAAAGAGAAAGCTTCAATTCATTTTAAATGACACATTCATTTCTGCAGTTTTTCTGTTATAAGCAAATGAAGAACCTCATTCTGCATTCCACTGAACACCTCAAATCCCCTTGACAGTCAATGAACATCTGGAATCCAAATGAATACAGAATGAATCCCTAAGGCTGTAGAGCAAAACAGGTCAGTAACCATCCCTACGTCAAAAGTCACTGTGGAAATCTTGCAGCAGGTCAACTGAAACCAGGCTGCATTTCACTACTGGTTTTATAACACATGTGTTATTTTCAGACCAACTTCCCTTAACCATCTTTTGCCTACAGTACAGCATTAGCATAGCTGTAAGTGCAATGACCTAAACTCTCCTGACAAAACTAACAGGTAGCTAGGCATTCCTAGGACATTCTTCCAACCAGATTCTTAGCATCCTTCGCTCTCCCAAGAGTTAGAGAAGTTGATGGTACTCCACTCCTGGGGCTTTTAAGACTTTCCTTTTCCTTCCATTAAGTAAAAAAAAAAAAAAAAAAAAAAAAAAAAAAATAACAACACACACATGCTTTCCTACACACACACCCACTCCCAAATGGAGGGAAAAAAAAGCAAAACAGAAAGTTTTACAAGATGCCAATCTGGAATGAAATGGATTTTTGAACAGACAGTCATATTTGGCACTGTCAGCAAAAGCTTGTGGGTGGCCCTGTGTCTCTTCGAGCCTTAATGCCCTTTTTACATTAGTCATTTTAAAATGTCCCCAGAAAGTTCAGCTGTGCTGCTTCTGATATTATTTTCACAATGTTGCTGAATGGACTTGATGGAGAGATTTGCTTTCCCCTACCCCAGTTCCATAAAGCACTATACATTAAGGACGTATTCCATTTGGCCTTCAAGTAGCATTTTTATGGTCCATACTGATCCATGATTATTTTCCCTTTAAAAAGAATCAACAGAGAACAGAACTCTCTTCGGAAAGTATCGAAATTGAGAACTACTGGATCTCTCAAAACAACTCCTATGATCCTCAGGCAGAAGACTGGGTAAAAGGGTCCTCACATGGTTCTAGCTGCATTCTCAGTACACCACTTTTATGAAGAAACCAGAGCTGTAGAAATTCCTCCGGCATGGCATGGAATCCGGAATCAGGCAAGACATTGTCATAGTAATGATGGCTAATAAACTTCCCATGCAGGTCCACCGAGAACGGCCAGAAGCCATAAATTGTTACTTCTTCACACAGACCAAGGGCGGCACTGACTAGGAAAAGTCCTGTGGAAAGGCGTTTGGCATGGATACCTTTGCTCTTCCAGAACTTGCCAATGTCACGCAGGAAATTGGGGTTGGCAAAAAGGACCGCCTGTTTGGCACCGAAGTCCTCCAGGGTGTAATAGACACGTAGGGAGGGTCCTGTCCCCGTCTTCATCGAGAAGGCTGGCATGTAGATGTAGCTGTGGTTATACACCTTCACGCTGTCCACAAATGCTTTTCGAGACCACAGCAGATTTTGGAACCTGTAGAATAACAGAGAAAAACAAGTTGATCACACATAGGTTTTCGCAGTCATTTCAAAACCCAGCTAAAAGCACACATATAACTACCTGCACACCTTTCTCAAGCCCAGAGAAAGTGCAGACAAATTCCTGACTGTCTGACACTGCCTCTCTTCTAAAAACATAGACCTGAATAGACAGCTGAAAACTATCTGCTATATTGCTATCTCCAAAATCAACAAATGTTTCTGATTTCATCTTCTCAAAAAACCCATAATGAACACTGACAGTCTTCCTGAAAATCAATAATTTTTAGTGCCATTCTTCTTTCTGCCCAAAAGCCATCTTATATTTTCAGGCACAGGAATCTAGAGGAAATTTTAAAGTCTGTGTTCTTGTTCCTTAAGGGCATCCAAAAAAATAATCAAGTTACATGCTGAACAAGTAATACTGAGCAATATTTAAAGAGAAACTTTGGACTTAAACTTTTAAGAATTGTTGTTGTTATGCCTGTTTAGCAATTTTGGTTGTGCTACCATAGTAGTTAATTCTCATTCTGGAACTGAGAGAAATCTCAAAGAACATACTTTGTTACAAACAACTAAAACAGAAATCAATGAATTGTTTAAGTTAAGTGGCACCACAAAAATCTAGCCACAGGCACCAAACAATAGTCAGAGCTGGTGTTTAAGATAGCATAATTTACACACTGAGTAGGTTTAAAAGCAGTTGGTATCTGTACCATGCAAGTTAAGGGAGCAACTAGTTGACAGCTATAAGGAGGGCAATGTATATATACAGATTATTTCTCTAATATGATGGTCTTATCTGTTGATATAAAAACTATATCAGGTTACTATTTGTTAAATTGCCAGTATGTTTTTGCTGATGTCTATTTTGTCCATGATGTTACTTATATACTACTCCAAAACCAGTATTCTGTCAGACTATAACCTTTCCTTGACATATGCTTCTGGATATGCCAAGATGAGTAAGACATTTGGCAGGAAATCCTAGGCCAGTCACACACAGCAAAATGTGCACTGATGTTTGACATGTCCTGACGTCTGAAACTAAATGAATCACCTCTCAGTAAAATATTAAAAGTATCCTAAATATGTATCATTGCATGTAACTGATTTGGAGGTCAGCCAGAGCCATGGGCAAAATCCATTATCTAAACCACAAAATTTCAGAGTAACAGAAGCACTCGCTGTCCTGGGGTGCAGACTGCACTGGAGGATACTTTTGTGTGAGAGAGTCACTATGATTTTACTCACAATAATCTGCTTTCTTCTTAGAGTCCACACAATCTTCAGAATGCCATTAAGCCCTCCCCACCTTTACCACATGACAGTATCTATAGCCTTCAGTGCAGCAGTTTACTACATTAAAAGCCACTTCTGCACAAGCCTCACATGCACTCCTTTCATTGCAGCTGGGTGATCTCTAATTTTTATCTCAAAAAAAAATATCCCTTGCTGCTGCCCCCTCTCTCTAAGCTTCCTGCAGCTAAGGCAAATGTGTGACTGATTTCATAGTCATGCATCCAGTAGAGGAGTCAGGACAAGAAAGTTGAGACAGCAGCACTGGATTTATTTTTTTTTTTCCTTTTTTTCTGGGGCAGGTAGAGAGAGAGGTATAATAATACCCTTCTTAAAGGGTTATGAAGAGATCAATTTTGTATACAGACATCTGTGAAACATCAGCAAGATTCACACACAGGAAGATACAAAGGTTTAAGTAGGATGCCAGAAATTTCAGCTGAAACAGTTTCCAACCAAAAATACAGCTTCAACAGCATTGAAATGTCTCATGAACATGTGCCAGGTTTTTTGAAGTCTTTGTTTGCAGAAAACTTGAAATATTCCAATTAAGTTGAAAGGTTTGGTCAACATTCTCAACATGCGATATTTGGTCTCCTGATTTGTTATGAGTTTCTTTCAAAATTTCCTTCAAGAGGAATTAGAATAAAGCTATTCTGAAACAAATGCCCTGAAATCTGCCTTGGTCTTCATTACTGTTTTGCTCTGCAGATCTGCTCCTACTGCATGGAGATATCTGCTAATGTAGACAAAGCCTCTGTCTTCCAAGCAAGAAATCAATTCAACCTGAACATACAAAACAAAATAATAAAAATTATTTCATAACTGATTGCATTTGCATTCTTTTCTGTAGAAATAGCCAAGACACAGCTGAATATAGAAGGCCAGCCAAGACCATGGTTTCCTGGCAGGAATTGTCTGGCTGTACTTTCTCATATGGACCCTCTCACTCCACTACTATCAGACCTTTAACTAAGTGTTCCCCAAAACAGGCTTTACCATCCTCTCTTCCAAAGGAGTAGCAAGACAATCTGTCAGATTATCAGGTACAGGAGTTGGGTCCATCCTATCAAACAGGTTCCATTTACATCAGGACAGTCACTGAGGGTAAAAAAAATTAAAAAATAAAAATCCCTAGCTTAATCCTTTCAGTATTCACCTAGGCACTGAGGCTCAGTATCCAAACCCTGTTCTAATAACCATAATAGCTTGTAAGATGTAGTGAAATGCTGGGGTTCAACCCCAAGCCCCAAATTAAGGTTGACATAGGGGTGATTCCCACAGCCCTTCACAAAGGGGGCGTGAATTTGCCTTTAAGCTTCCCTCCAGAGTGCAGCCGGCCTTGCAGGGAGAGCCATTGGGTAAACGAGCCCCTGGTGTCCAGCATTAAGTAAGCAAAGGTCAGGTGTCCCACTTGGGGATAAAAGCTGGGACCCCTTGCAGGAAGGGGCAGTGTCTGTCTGTGAGGTGGATGCACTTTGCAGAGTTTCCTGTTGGGGAAGGACCTCCTGCCTCCCTGGGACTGTGCTCCAGTCAGGTCTGGCTCTTGTAAACGTGGGCTGTGTAGAGCTCCAGTATGTGGCTTCCTTGGTCTTATGTATTTGGCTTGTTGACTTGGTTGTCTCCTGTCCCTTCTATGGGGAACTGCATTTCACCATTTATTCCACCCATTGTTGGTTGTGGGGTGTTGTTGTTGGGGTCAGTGGGATTGATGTTGATTATGTATGATCTGACTGACTTGTTTGTACCCCCAGTGCTCACCCATGTACTGACCCTTTTGTATCAAATACAATTTGGTTATTGGTTCATCTTTATGCTGGCTGTGTCCTTTATGCTAGGCCTAAGAATTGGCAAAATGGGTGGGAAATTCAGGTTCAAACTTCCTTTCACAGTAAGGGATACTACAGCACACAGCCTGATGTGATGGGGTCCTTGCATCTTAGCCAAGGGGAAGGCACAGACAGGACTTCTGTCACTCCTGGAAGCTGGTTTCACCATGTCCTTTCCCACTTACAGCTAGTTAACAAATTTCACTTCAGATGGCAAATAGATACGGTTATTCTAAAACTGCACTTCTCAGCAAATTTACCATTCACAGAAAAGCACTGCACAGCTCTAAGATTAATACATTAAAGTTGCTCAGATACAGTCACAGAGGGCCAAGGACTGTCTCTGAATATTAATTTGCTATCGTTGCCACAACACATTTACATTGCTTCGAGACAAATCTCCCCTTAAAGTAACAAGTGAGTAGCACTACTGTGAGAGTGGTGCATGGGAGGGACTTCATGAAGAAGGGACATTGCTTGTCATGCTACTGCAAACTGTCCTTCAGGAACATCACATCCTGGAAACCTGTGTCTCATTCAAATGATCCGAACTGCAGTGTCAGTAGGTGTCATGCCCAATTCAACAGATGGACATTATACAGGTGGCCAGGAGCCCATGCAGAAAGATAAAACATGCTGATTATGGCTGGTCTGATTGCCTAACACAGCCAAAAAGCTGCTTCCCCTCTTGCACTCCTGATGAGGGGAGATATTAGAAGCAAATTAAATTTTCTGTTTCCCATTTGTAAAAATAGGAGCCCTGTCCAGCTTTCTGACATTTCATAGGCTGGTCAGAGGCTGAGAAATCCAGGGATAAATGCTGTGGGTCATCAAGTTTCTGTGAATGGTACTGGAAGCTCGAGTTTATTTTCCTTTAGCTCCCAATCCAGACAGGGAGTGCTGCAGGCAACACCATTCCAGCCAGTGGCTTGAGGGTACCCTACCGCATCCATCCCAGATGACAGTAAGGACACTATTCCACACCTGACAGAGAGATCAGGAGGGCTTTTCCCCTACAGCTGACCAGCTCTGTAGTGCATGCGTGAGCATGACAATACATTTTTTTCCTACTTGTCCTGGCATGGACACTGCCAGCCTGGTGCAGCCCTTGCATCCAAGGATGCGCACAAATGCCTTCCCTCATGCTGACCCTCACCCAGCCTTCCTTGAATGGGAAGCCTAGTGAGTGCTTGCCTCTACCTGACATGCTTTGAATGTCAGTAATCTCAGGGGCAGAGCCCAGAAGCTGTGCAGCTCCTGCCCACTTACCAAGTTTCACATGCATCCATGACCCAGCCTCTTGTGCAAGTGTGCATCTCAGGCAATATCATCTCTCCAGCTCAGATCTGAGCAAGAAACAGCTGAAGTGCTTTCAGAGTCGTTCTCTGACCTTCTGCAGTCAAGCTCACAAAACACATGGCGAGTTGCCAGCATTCAGATAAAACTGGAATCTCCTGAGCAGCACCTGAAGACTATGCAAGTTGCTCGATAATTTGCAGTAATGTGTCCCAGCAGCTTGACAGCAGCCCAGAGAGGTGCCGATGACTGTGAACACTGGTGAAAGCAGATCATGACACACATTCAGCTCGAGCACTTTACTTCCGCTACTCTCATTAGTGAAGGCAGAGCAAATAAAATCATCAGCAACACATTTTTGCTGTCAGGTCCATATGACAAAAGAACTTAAAAAGCACAACTTTCAACAGGCACATGTAGGCACAGCTGCACAGATATCAAGAGAAATTATTTCCTTGACACCACCTGTAGAGTTCCCTCAAACGCTCTGCTCTGCTTTTCCAGGAAGAATGATGCATCCAAGAGAAAATTGCCACAGTACATAGTCATGACAGTACAATCAAAGACTTAA